TACGAAAACAAGCCACCATTCCGGACCTCGCTCGAAAAAACAAAAACGTCTTGTTCAAATACATGAGACATCGCTGCAGAAACAAGCCATCCGCGTTCCTCTTGAGGGACAGAAACGGAGAACCGACAAATGACCTAACAGGAGTATCTGAGGTTTACAGAGAACGCTATGCGTGTCTATACCCAGCCCCAGCGTCCTCGTCACATCCACTCTCGTCAACGCGAAACTACGAACAGCCTGTAACCGACTTGGTTTTCACGGTGGAGGACATTCGTCAACTCTTGCACAAGATCAGCCCATTCTGGGTGTTGAGGCCCGACGAGGTATATTCAAGGATCCTGAAAGAAACGTCCTCCACGCTGGCAAATCATTTACACCTGGTGTTTCGTCAGCTGCTTGACGGAAGCCGCCTTCGCTCTGCTTGGAAGGAAGCGATTGTCACGCCAATCTACAAAACTGGTGACCGACTATCGCCTGACAGCTACAGGCCTATAAGCCTCACCAGCGTGTCGTTCAAGATGATGGAACGAATTCTGAAGCGAACTATCCTGGATCACTTTACTTCCAGCAATCTGATATCTCCAGCTCAACACGGATTCCTCCCAAACCGCCCTTGCGTGACAAACATGCTCGTGTTTATGGACAGCTTAACCCAAGCCAAGAACGAAGGACTCATATCGGATGCCATATTGTTCGACTTCTTTAAAGCATCTGATAGGGTCTCACACGTCCCACTGCTCCACAAACTCCAGTCTTGCGGGATTCAAGGTAAAATCCTTCCCTGGATCAAGGCGTTTCTGTCAGATAGATCATTCCGAGTGAGAATAGGCTCGACCTACTCCTCTTCAGCGCCGGTCTCCATTGGAGTTCCTCAAGGCTCCGTCTTGGGACCACTCCTATTTCTGATCTACGTCAACGACATTTCGAATGTTCTTGCAAGTGTATGTCTACTTTTTGCGGACGACTTGAAATCCTGGAGTTCCAATGCCAGTGTCCTCCAAATGGATGTAGACGCTGCCAAGCAGTGGTCGTTGGACTGGCACCTTCCTCTGAATGATGAGAAGTGCGTTGGAGGAGACGTGGCGAATGCCTTTGTTATGCTTGGTGAAAAGGGACCAGTAAACATCGTGAGGATAGATGCCAAAAGGGATTTGGGCATCTGGAACTCCTCAAACTGTCCTACTCACTGCACCATGAGAAATCGGCCCGAAAGGCATTCGCCATTTTACGGATGATCCGACGCAGCTTCTCCCATATTACTCCCATGGACTTCCAGATACTCTATGGGGCCTACGTCGGACCGCTCCTGGAGTACGCCAACCAAGTTGCCTACACAGGACGTACAAAAGACGCCACCCTCATTGAGCGTGTCCAGCGGGCCGCCACGAGAATGGTTGCTGGCCTCAAATCCGTGGACTACGAAACGCGTCTCGCGATGCTTGATCTCTTTCCCCTGGAGTAC